TTAATAATCTCTAAACCTGTGTGAGGGAAAAGAAGGAACAGTTAATAATTTACCATGTAATTTTAGCTCTTTGTAATAAAAGTTTCAAAACGAAATGCAAAGATCTCAATCCAAAGGTATCATGCTATTTTTTTTTTAAGTGTAACAATCTCAGCACTTGTCATGTGTCTTGAAAAACACTAATTCACTCAATCTCAAAGACAATGGTATGCGATAGGTTATCTGTTATCACGACCTTCCCCGTTTTATGGAAACACAAAGAAGTAAAATAACTGGTCCATGACTATGCAGCTAATTAGTGACAGTCAGGATGCAAATCCTGACGGCTTGGCGCTAGAGTCCAGTCACTAAGCCGTCACCATGAAATCACTGCTTATTCATGACAAATTGTGTCACTTCCTTGCTCAAAACCTTCAGGGGCTCTTGAAGCCTAAAATAATAAATACAAGTCATTAGCTTAGCAACAAAGACCCTCCAGCGACCTTTCTTTCCTATTTTGTTCCCCATCACAGTCCTCCATCTACTCTCCCGGGCTCCAACTGAACTGTACTGGCCACACTTCCCCAAATGGATCCCATGCGTTCCTGCCTCTACGCTTTCTCCTTGATTTGGTCTTGCACTGGGAGGCGGTGTGTTCTCACCCACTCCCCCACCTTCTACATCTTACCTTTCCTGCAAAGGTCCTCCCAAAGTGCCATCTCCTTTACACATTTTCTCCTGCATCTCTCAAACTGAGCTGGTTTGATTCCCACAGAATTGTATCTCTGTCCATCAATCTGTGTTATGAGTTTCTGGCTTTTATGATAGTTATTTCTGTATATGTTATATTCCCTCCCAGCGTCAAGGATGGGCTCCTTGAGGGCTAAAATATGCTTTCTAATAGAACCTAAAATTTTTTTAATTAAAAATTTCAACCATTATTGTTTTTTGAAAACCAGATGTAGGCATGCTTATGGCAAAAAATGAAACATTACAGAAATACATCTCTTAGAAAGTGAGATACGCCATTATAACCCCTCCTTCCTCACCCTAAGAGAACTGTGGTTAACAGTTTGGCATGTAGTCTTCTACTCTTTCTGCATATAGTAAAAATGTATAATTTTTATTTACGGAAATAATTTTCAACATTATGAACAACACTGCAGTGAGTATGTGTGTATATATTCCATATGTATACACTGCATGTGTGCACAGACACATATACTCCACATATACTGCATATGTCTCCAGACGACTATCTGGAGCACATATCCTTGGACATGAAATTACCAGGTGAGATGAAATGGAAATACTAAATGATGACAATTATGGAAAATGTGGATGGGAAGGAGCCCTGTGTTAGGTCTTTCTGTATCTTTCACAAAGTCAGTGATTAAAAGAGAAGGTTCTGGCATCAGGCTGTGCTGGTTGCACTGGTTTGTATCTAGGCTCAGTCTCTATTCCTTCCTCGTCTTATCTATGAGAACATATTAGTATTTTGCTCCCAGTTAAGACTTAAGTGAGATAATCCACGTACAATTAGCATTTAGCAAGCACGTGGATAATAAGTAAATGCAAGATACCTGGTGGGAGGAAAAATGGTAATAGGTTCACATAATTGTTGAATGAATAGGACTGAAGAGAACAGTAATTTGAGTAATCCTTCTGGAAATGGAGGGTACTTTGTTATGGAAACCGACAGGAACTATGAAATGACCAGCTAGCGTTAGAGGTGCAATGGCCGTGGAGCAATTTCTCTCTGTGTGAAATTAACTGGCCTGAACCAGGATCAGCCAATGAGCTCTTGAGTCTCACACTTTCCCCAGTGGAACTAATGGGCCCTGACTGCTGCCTGGTACCTTATACAATGGGTATCTTTAAGGAGAGAGAACAATGCATTTGCTCAGAGGACGCACTGGCTCCCCATCTAAGGTTATTAGGCCGTCTAGTTACCCAGCCATTAATGTTGGAAATAAATAGAAAGTACACAAATAAATGGCTAGCGTATAGACTACTGTCTAGATTCTTGGGTTCTGGGTAAGAAGTCTCCACCTTCATAGAAAGATTCCTATACCAAAACTAGAATACCAGAATATTCTGGGGAAGTCAGTACTGGAATATTCTGGGGAAAGTCAATCCTGGGTTCTAGAACCAACTCTGCCCTTAATTAGCTGCAAAACCTTGAGCAAAATTGAACCTCATCTTGCAGACACAATGAGGGGACTGAAATACGTGATGTGAAAGGCTCTCCCCACTTTTAAAAAAAGATTTATTTATTTATTTGAGAGAGAGAGAGTGAGAGAACACTCACAAGGGAGCACAGGGAGGAGGGCAGAGGGAGAGAAAGAATCTGAACAAGAGCCCGATGCGGGACTTGATCCCCTGACCCTGAGATCATGACCTGAGCTGAAATCAATAGGTGGATGCTCAACTGACTGAGTCACCCAGGTGCCCTGAAAGGCCCTTTCTTGACATTCCTTTCCCCACAGGCAGTTACATTTTCAGACACCAGAGCTGTTTATTGCACTGAAAATAATGAATGCATAAAATCAGGTAATGGAAGTATTTTCAAAATGTCCAGATGAAGAGATAGCGAAGGGGCTACACAGCAGGGTGCAAGCCCAACTGACACCTGCTTTGTGGTGTCCCCTACAGGAGGGGATGGGGGGAGTCCACTGAAGAACACCAGAAGTCTGGGGATAGGGGAGTGGAATCAGGGCAGAGGTTGTAGTCTAACTGGATCCAGGTCCTGGGCAGGGGCAAATGGGACTGTAAACGGGGCTCCCAGCGAAATATGAGCATCATCCAAAGTTAACTGATGACCCTCTTCCTAGTCCAATGTGTTCTTGCCCCCCCTCCAGTAAAATTGTACCCATCTTCTCAGGCTCATTTCAAAGTCCATTTCCTTTCTGATATAAGCTCCCCTCTACCTCTCCTTCCAGATGTCCTGTTCCTCTAAAGGCTAACTGTACTTATCCTCTGTGCTATTTTCACAGCATTTCCAAGAGGGATACAAGGCTGCCTCAACCTTCTAGTGACACTTGTATCCTCCTAATGAGACCCAAGGCCTTTGGCTCCTTTCACTTCCCAGGCATCCAATACAGTAGTGCTCAGGAAATATTTGTGGCTCTGTGAGTGAGTGACTCAGGCAGGCCCCATGGGGAGTAGACTTTTATGGGTTTTAATCTGAACCATACCATGAAATCTGAGACTTTTACCTCATTGCTCACACTGGAATCCGTCAGTTCCAGTCAGATTTGCTTGGAGCCGGGTGGAATTTTGCTCCTTTTCACGATGAAACCCATAATCTAATTTTAAAATTAAAACACATTTAAGTAACACCTACTTCATGCTCCACAGTAATCTAAACACTACAAATGTTAACTCATTTACTTTTCATAACGACCCAGATAGAAACTGAGGCACAAAAATGTTGTCCTTTGTGCAGGGATCAAAGCTAATAATTGGCAGAGCTGGGATTCAAACCCAGTCCATCTGGTTCCAGAGAACACTCTCCTCTAAGACGTTATGTTGCCTGAAACTTATGAGTTGCAAAAATCTTCATAAGCAGAAAAAAACCTGAGGTTGATGTATTTATTTCAAAGGAAATTTTTTTTTTCTTGTGTTCCCCTTTCCTTCCTCATTCGAAGCAAATTGTTCTAGAGCAAAGAGCCTTAGTTTCACACCTGAGAGAACTGATGGCTCAGTTTTGCTTTGGCAATCAAAATGGAAGAGGAAACTTGTGTGGTTTCATCACTGGTGCTTTCGGGGTGTGTGCTGCACGCAGCGTGTCGTCCTGCTGCCCCCCTCGGTCCTCACGGTCCCCTACTCCCCAGCTGTGTTGCCTCAGGTCCTGGAGACTTTTTAGCGTGCCTTTCCCCGACAATAGTGGGATTTGGAACAGCGTTTCCATCACTCTCACACAGCCAGTCCCAGTCCTAGAGCCCCAAGCATCTTCCTTTGTCCTCCTGTCCCTCAAAGCCTCAAGACATTTGCGTCAGAGTCCCCAGACACAGCATCTCTCCGTCCTCCATCCCACTGGTGAATCCACTATGCGTCCCTGTTTCGGAGGTTTTGTGGCTGACTTTATGGATATTTAAATTATCTCCACACGTGGGATGCCGGCCTCAGAACCTGACAGACCTGCCATTGACTGACTGTGGGACCCAGGGCAAATTACTTAACGTCTCTGAGTCTCGGTTTCTTCATCGTGAACGGGCTTGATACCCGTTCGGTTGCTGCGTGAATCCAAACGAGATCCTGCAGGGGCTGCCCCGGCACGCAGTAATTCTCTTAGGTCCCCCTTGGCATTATTTACTTCATGTATGCTTGTCCGTTTCCCATTTTTTTCCAGCGCACCCTCTGCCCTGAGCGCAGGAAAGGCGTCTTTGCGTCACACTGAGAAAGTCCCTCTACCCCTCGTTAAAACGTCCGGCGCCCGCGGACTCTTCTGGCACATTGACGACAACCCCTGAAAAACGTTCCTTCTTCAGACCCCAACCCTGAACTTTTACCCCGCGGCCCTAGAAAGGCCAAGGGCTCAGGACCCGAGGGAGGCCCGGCTGAAGTCGCTGGGTGCGGCTCTGGGAAGCAGAAATGGGCTTCAAGAGGGAGCCCGCGCTCCGGCTCGCCTCCCTCGCTCCAGGATGCCCTCAGCCCCGGGCCCCTTTCCGGCCGCGGACACCTGCTGCCCGGGCCCGGCGTCCGAGGCGGGCCTCCTCCGCGCGGCAGTCTCGGCTGCCCCGGTCCCACCTGCGCGGCCGCCGACGCCGGCGAGGTGGTCCCGGCCCGCGCCTGGCCCGCCGCCCCCGGGGCAGCCTCCCGGGCGCCCCGCCCCCGCCTCCTCCGCGCAGCCCGCGGCGCCCGGCCGCGCCCCCTCCCACCCCGCGGCGCCCCGGCACCCCTCTCCTCCCCCGGCGGGCTCGGCGGAGCATTGTACTCACATCCGGGGCTGGGTTTTGCTTTAATGCGAAACGTAATTAACCCGGAAAAAAGAGCCGAGAGACAAGAGAGAAGGAGGGGTGGGGGTGCGGGGAGGAGAGCGAGAGGAGCTAGAGGCACCGAGAGTTTGGCGGCGAGATAAAGAAATCCCCCGAGAGCGGCGGCCCGGCCTGCCGGAGACGCGCGTCCCACCCCGATGTAACCCACCCTGCCCGAGCCCCGGCCGCCGCACGGCGGGGTAAGTGGGGCGCCCTCGCGGGTCCGGGCGCAGCGAGGCGCGGAGGGGCGTGCGGGGGCAGGCGAGGCTGGGGAGCAGAGGGAGCAGGGGAACCCGGGCGGGGGCGCCGAGGGCGCGCAGGCGGGGCGGGGTGCGCCTGCCCTGGCGGCGGACGGCGAAGGGAAAGGTCGCCGCAGCCCCTGGGCGCCTCCCGTAGCCCCCGGGAAATCCCGGAGGGCAGCCCCTCCTCCAGTCTTCTGGAGCGTCCGGGGTGGCCAAGGTCGCCACCGCCAGGGGTCGGGCTGCGGGGGTGGGGCCGCGGGAGCGGGGGGCGGGTGTTCTGCTGAGCTGCATTTTCTCACGTTTGCAGCGGCGAAACTTCGCTGCGGGTTCTGGCGCTGGAGCACCGGCCTCGCGACGACTGCCCCGGCTGCGGGTAGGGGAGGAGAGCGGAGAGCGTCCCAGGCAAGTCCCTCGGGCTCGGATTGGGCCATGGAGCCTCGTTTTCCTCTTCCCCTGTTACCTTACTACGTGACAGGCCTACAGGGCTCCCCTAGGCAGATCCCTTCTTTTCCCCTGGGTGCAGACCGGGCCCTTGGGGCTTCTGGAACTCCGGGCTGGGGGTGGGGGGTGACTTGTAGGAAAACTGTCCTAAAACGCAGGTTCGGTGCCAGATTGGGAAAGCACCCTTGAGAGAGCTGTCTCTCGCTCTCACCAACTTCTTCCTCACCTTACACGCTTCCCTTTTCTGCTCTAGTTCTGAAGACTGTTACTTCATCAAACTAACAAAAAAGCAAAAAATAAATAGATTTAAAAAAAAAAAAAAAAGAAGGGAAGAAAAGGGGCAGAAGAGGCCGTGCAGGAAGGAGAAGTGTACAGGCACCTCCAGAGAGGAGGCGCGGTGTGGCCACCTCCACTGGGGCCTCACACATCTCCTCCCCCAGGCCAACCCTCCCCGCTACCCAGCCTTTCGCCTAAGGTTTCCTTCCTTCTTCTTGAGTTTGGGTTCTAGCTGAATCTTCCCCTTCTAACTCCTTCTCCCGCTCCTCCTCTTTTCTTTCTTTAGGACTTCAAATGGGGTTTTCCAGAGGAGCGTGAGAAGCAGAAAAGAGGGAGGGGAAAAGCGTTCTACCAGGATGCCAGCTGTGGCTGTAAGCCCGCTGAGCGGTGGTTGCACTTGGGCTGAAGTTCCAAAATTGTACTCATGTTCTTAATATATCTTAGTCCCCTTTCTCTTCCTTTTTGGAGCTCCATCAGTTTTCTTTGTTTGGTGGCAAAGCCTTCAGAAACGGTGAAACCAAAGGTCTGGAAAGAATAGGAGGGTTTGTTTTCTGTTCCACAGTTGCATTCGGTTGACATATCATGGATAACAAGGATGTGAAAGGCAGTGACGAAGTAAGGCCAGCCTCTGTCTTCAGGGAGCTTAAATCCGATGGCAGACACAGGCTGTCCACGAGTGCCTCGGACACAAAGTGGATTGCTAAAATAGAGATCCGGCATGCTTTAAGAAACCAGGAGAGGCTATTTGGAAAGCACCATCATTTCAGCTATTTCTCTTTTCCTTGCGTGCCGCTTGAGAGTAATGACTTTCGGCATAGCAAAAGTCTAGCTTGTAGTCTAGACTGTATGGCCACTGTGATGTAGGACATCACCTAGCTGTTAGGCAGGTATTTGTTGAAGGGGAGAATGAATGAATGAATGGCTGCAGGTACACGGATTGTTGGCATCTGTCCGGATGGAAGGGCAAGGAGCAGTGTGGCAGTACCCCAAGCATATAGAAATCCGGTTCACTGAGCTGGTGCATGCGGGTTTCCTCTGGATGTTGCTTTTAGACCTTGTCTCCCTTTTGTAAGCCCCACTTTTTACAAAGTGTCTGTGGCACCCCTGGTGGTATTTCAGCTAGTTCATGATGGGCGCCTTGCTCACCTTACAGATGAGGGTGATCACCTGGGTATTGATTTGCAAACCACCTGCTCCTGGGTAGAGTTTGCAAGCCCTTCTTTTCCCTTATTGGTGCTTTCTTTTCTCTTCTGTAAAAGGAAGTAGGGCCTGCATGTCCCATCTTGTCTTCCTAGTGAGCTGAACCGCATTGAGCTCTGTATTTTACTAAGGTTACAATAAATCCTGAAGACATGTAGGTTTTGGTTGGTGCCTACCTATGGAGAAATTCTGCAGAAGTGGGAAGGGAGAAGCATTGGCTCTGTCAGTCAAATCCTCCTGAACAACCAGCTCTCTTGCTTGCTTGCTGGGTGTTTCCTGAAAGTGCTGGAATGCTATGAAGACCCAGATAGCAGGACCACGGTCTTCATGGTGTGCATCTAGCTGGTACTTCATTGATTTCCTGTGTTCTTCATGAGGCAGGTGGACCCAGGGCTTGGAAAAGAGGGTCTACGTGCTGGCACATTGGACTGCCCCGCCTTTTCTTTCTACCCTGAGCAGTTTGAGTTGCCTTGCTTTCAGTTTTCCATCTGTCTTAGTAAGCTGGATAGGACTCCTGCAATCTAATCTGTTAGGCTTTGGAAAGGAAGGAAGCAGAGCAAATATTATAGTGTGACAGCCTATGGGGAGAGAAGATTCCTAGCCCTGCCCAGTATAAGCCCATCACTGAGCCAGGGAATTGGACAGGGTGGGGAGATAGGGCAGCTGAGAGGTGGGAGGGATGGGGTCCCTTCCTTCCTGTTCTTAGGAGGCCTGTGGTTGGTGCAGTGGGACTGTAACTGGAAGACTCTGTTGACCTTTGTTCTGAATCTTGGGTTGCTCTGCCCTCGCATCCCCCTGACCCCTGCTTTTAAGCCCATCCAACCTTTTGGCTTTATAATTTATCTCCTTTCTGTAGAGGATTGAAAGCTGAATTGTGCACTTTCATGGTGGAGGTCGCGGAGCTGCTGAGGCGGGAGCTCCTGACACTGCCCAGTGTCTGGCCCAAGGCTTTCAGCCTGGCCCCTGTGGGGTGCCTTTCTGCCCACAGAGGCTGGCAGCTGAGATAAAGAGGGTGTGACGCTAGGTCTGCTTGTCCTTTACACTCTTGAGAAACACCGTAGTTAAAGGGCAAAGGCTAGGATTCGCTGTGCCATCAGCTAGGACTTACACTGTGCCAGCCACTTGCAAAGGGGCTCTTCTGCGTTGGGATGCTTCAGTGGGCGAGTCCCTTCCCTGGAGCCTGATCTGCGTGCCTGGCTTCTGCTTACTTTCAGGATAGCCTGGCCAGCATGGAGTCTGGGAGTGCTCGGATTGCTTTTTTCCCCAACCTCCTGGAGAATTTCAGAGATGTAAACTATGATGGTTCTCGGAGTAGAGGGAAGAGTAAGGGAAGTTTATGCCTCTCCCTGTGAGGGATTCCAGTGTTCCAGCCTTTTCTCTTGACGTGCGCTTATTGATATTTGAGGGGTAGAGACAGCCGTGCGGCTGCCTGCCCTATAAGAAGCTGCTTTGCGGTCGTGTTAATGATAATCAGGTACTCCTGGTGAGGCGCTTCCACACATGCACACACACACGTGTCACAACATTTCCCCAGTGCTTCCTCTTCACCAGACCTCCTGTTAAGCACTTTTCATACATTATTTCATTTAATCTTTGCAGCCACCTTGGAAGTAGGTAAAGTGACTCTCCTCCACTGTGCAAATCCCAGGAGAGTTCAGTGGCTTCTGACTCGAAAACTCATTATCTTTGACTTCAGTCCGCCACACGGACGGGTCACCGAAATCAGCACGCCCTTTCCATGGTCCTCTTCTTGCAAGAGTTTCGACCAATGCAGTCACGCTGGTCGATGTCACCTGCACCTCCTCCTCGCCACACCCAGCCCCTCCCCCCACCCCTCCTCCTGAGACAGACACACTTAAGCCACTTAACAGTTTCCCCCAGCACTTTGCAAAAGGCTAGTAGATAGGAGAAGCCATGATGTTATCTTTTCAATTTTCTGCTGTCCGTGTTTTAGCAGGTCAACTTTTAAAAGAAGATCATTGCTGTGGGTTCCTATTAGGAAGCCCTGCAGGGAAACGGAATTCATTGGGTTTCCCAACTTGGGGGCGGGGACTGCCATAATTCTGAAAGTTGGAGATCTCAGTGTTTATAGGCTAATTTATAAACCAGGTGAGGCTGCTCGTCTATGCTTGTGATCTCTGGTGGAGCCTTGAGCCTCCAGCTGCCACCTTTTCTGGGACCATAGATGAACCCGCTGTTAAGAGAGGTCATGACTGTTTAAAATGTTTTTGTTGCTTTTGGTGTCTTTATTGCAGTGGATCAATGTTCAGTTTCTCCAGCCTTTTCCCTGAAATGTGTCCCCTTAAAAATTCCTTCTCGAGTGTCTTTTGCCCTCCCCTCCAAGTTCTAGGGTCCAGTGGGGTTTGGGCTGTCGGTGTCATGGGGGCACCTTTTCTTAACCTCCCCATTGCTGTAAATGTTTGCATTCTTCACTCTGCACTTCCACTGGCAACAAGCTCTCTCTCACATTATTCTCCTGCCTTAAGACTATTTGGCATTTGTTCTTATGACACTTTCAAAATGCAGTGATAGTGTAACAGTAGGAGATAGACGCTCCCACACTTTCTAAGTTATAATCTTTGGTCCATGCCCAAGGATGTGTTTTGAAATAGCTATGCCTGTGTCTTGTGGTTTTTCCTGGGCCTTTGGCGTGGTTGAAACTCCACACTACACACTTACGTATGTTGCAGATTTAAACTTGGGTGAAGTGTGCTCACATGGTGGGTGCATATTCTAGCAATAGCAGAGTGGCTGCCCCTCACCTGCACACCCCGGTTCCTGTCTGCTGTATCACAGTCCTCTGAGACCTCTGATGTCATTTCCCGATAAACTTTCTCAACCCCAGCGGGGTAACAAGACAGGAGATGGGTTCCTGCGCATCCCGTCACATGCCGAGAAACATCTTCCTGACTTTTTCTGGAGCAAAATCCCTGAAGTTCCCTGTCCTGCCAAGGCAAAGTAACATGAAAGAAAAATCTCCAAATGTAAAAAATGGATTAATTCTTTTTTCGTACTTGAGCCATCAGAGGTTCCAGTAGATGGTTTCATAATGGGGCCAGTACCACTTCAGGCTTTATCTCTGTGTTATCACTTTCCTTTTTATTTACCTCAGAAGTGTCAGAACGGTCAAGCAGATGAACCTCCCTTATTTCACTCAATTTTTTCCTGTATCTCCAAACTATACTACTAGTACCTGGCAGGCTCAGTTGGTGGGGTATGCGACTTTTGATCTCGGGGTTGTGAGTTTGACCCCCACGATGGGTGTAGAGATGACTTAAAAATAAAATCTTAAAAAAAAAAAGACATTAATGATGTAATAAGTCTAAAGCTTTTCTTTAAAAAAAAAAATCTATTATTCCACTATTCAGCCATTTATTTTTTTAAAAATGCCAGCCCTGTCTCCAAAATTTCAGGAAGGAAAATTCCACTGGGTGTCTCGGTCAGTGTTCCTGCCTCGTTTCCCCAGAGTATTGGGCATGGTGTGG